CCAAGGTTTTATATACAAAATGTTTGCACTTAGAGTGGTTTGAGCCATTAACAGGCTTATTATCTCTTATCTTTTTCTGCAAATTTTGTACACATTCAGTGTGCAATGGTTCGGGTGAATCCTCAAAATACTCCCAAGGTAAACGTAATGATGAACCAAACGCTAACCCAATATCTTCTCCATCGTTATATTTTTGTTAATATTGCTTTTAAATGAATTTTTAAGGAAAGTGAAACATGCATTTTAAATCGAATACACATATGTACTTTATATTTTGACTTCAGCGAAATTCAGGGTAAATTTTTTGGAAATGTATGATTTTTTATGTTTCAACTATGTACATACGCCAAATTCGAACCACATCGGACCATTAATACGGTTTTCCGAAATATCTCGAACTTGGCGCCACCTAGCAAGACTATTTTAGGCAAAAATTTGTGTACTTACATAGCCAGTATATATTTAAAAAAGCAGACAAATTGCCCCATAAATACGCTAGATTTTTGAATTTTATTTTTTTTTGTCGTGGTAGACCTTCTTATGGAAACACTCATATAGTAAAGTTCGCCACAAACTCATATAAATGCGGTAGAGCTGCAGAAACATCAATGTTTGAAACTATCGATTGTTTTTGCCAATAAAATATCGATAGTATCGATACTATCATGTTTTCTTGGAAATTATAACTTTTTGTTTAAAGATGAAATCCTAATCAATTAAAAAACATAATTTTTTAACAAATTACATTTATTATTTTAAAATTATCCATTAATTAATTGAAATTTTAATTTGACTTGTATTTAATGTCACATTGAATATTGCAAGTTATTAATTAATTAAATTAAAAATTTTAAATAATATAAAAATATTCATAAAGCAACAACGCTATTAATATGTGTTAAATTAATGACTTCTTAAATAAATTAAATATTTGCTCTTTAAGGCAATAATCGAGCGTACACTTCAGGGTTTTAGTCTTAATTTTCCCAATTAGAGGTCGAATGGCACTGACAAAATCACTTTTATTAGTAATAACTTCTCTGCACACTTATCGGTACGCTTTTGCGTTAAAATTTACGCTTTAATTTTTATAGTTCTTGTCTGCCCCGAATTTGGCACGGATAAACTTTCTAATTATGGCATTCCTCTAAAAACATCGATAGTAAGAAAAACATCGATGTTTTCAAAAAATTATTAAAACATCGATACTATTGATAGTGCTCCGATGTTTATGCAGCCCTAAAATGCGGGGTTTTCGGGGTCGTTGGTTTCGAATCTGAAGTCAAATTTTTGAAATTCAAAATGGGCGATCCAATATGGCGATGGGTCAGATGTATGAATTTTATTTGTATTAAATAATAAAAGAAAATATAAATAAATGGTAAACTTCGTTTATCCCACTTTCATTTGTTACCAAATTTCGATAGGCGGTTTGTTTATTATTAGGAGAGGACTCTTATTTCGGCCTTAAAAAATATTTGTCCATATTTAACTGTTATTACAANATCCTACTTTCATTTGATACCAAATTTCGATAGGCGGTTTGTTTATTATTCGGAGAGGACTCTTATTTCGGCCTTAAAAAATATTTGTCCAAATTTAACTGTTATTACAGAAGTCCAGATTTTTCAGTTATTATTGGACTTTNGGAGAGGACTCTTATTTCGGCCTTAAAAAATATTTGTCCATATTTAACTGTTATTACAAAAGTCCAGATTTTTCAGTTATTATTGGACTTTATCCCAAAATGTTCGAAAAATAAAAAGAAATCAGAATTCTTGTCTAGGAAGTCCTGGGATCAAAGGAACATTCATAACTTTATTCTACGACAATATTTTTCCTCGGACTTTTATAACATCGAAAAAATAACTGTTATTTTCGGTTCCTGTTTTTTTTCAGATTAGCTCTTGTGATATTTGCGAATTGTGCGGAATCTTTAATGTGGAGAAGTAGGCTAAACACTCACACGNCAAAAGTCCAGATTTTTCAGTTATTATTGGACTTTATCCCAAAATGTTCGAAAAATAAAAAGAAATCAGAATTCTTGTCTAGGAAGTCCTGGGATCAAAGGAACATTCATAACTTTATTCTACGACAATATTTTTCCTCGGACTTTTATAACATCGAAAAAATAACTGTTATTTTCGGTTCCTGTTTTTTTCAGATTAGCTCTTGTGATATTTGCGAATTGTGCGGAATCTTTAATGTGGAGAAGTAGGCTAAACACTCACACATTCACGTCGAAGCTGAGTAGAGAATATCGAGGGCTCTAAAATTTGAGGAGCACACCTTTCTGCATTCGTTTGCTTTTTGTTTTAATTATTTTTACAGATGCAAAAAATCAGAAAAAACTAGCGATCCATCGAGTTTTTCACCAGACCTGTGACAAATAATATTCGATCAGTCTTACAGATTTTTAATAATGAGATCACCAACTCTTTTTGTAACTATCCGTTGAAGATCTCTGCCTTAAATCCTTTTTGAAGGATCTCAAAATTAGACTTTAAATAGGGGAAGAAGGCAAAATATGGAATTAAAAATTAATATGGAGATGAAGTTGAAGGTGAAGATTAAGATAAGGATGATGGTGAAGATGGAGATGAAGTTGAAGATGACGATGTTGATAAATATGTAGATGAAGATGAGGATGAAAATGATATTGAAGATGGAGATAGAATTCAAGATGAACCTGGCGATGACGATGACGATAGAGATGAAGAGTAAAGTGAAGATGNATGACGATGTTGATAAATATGTAGATGAAGATGAGGATGAAAATGATATTAAAGATGGAGATACAATTCAAGATGAACCTGGCGATGCCGATGACGATAGAGATGAAGAGTAAGGTGAAGATGGAGATAGAGATAGAGATAGAGATAGAGATAGAGATAGA